CTTGTGTATATTAATGGTTGGAAATGGCTTGAATGGGTAATGAAGAAAACTTTAATATAAGTTTAACTTAACAGCAAATGTACAACGTTTCGACAAGGTTTTGTCATCATCAGGTACAAAACCCTGTTGAAACGTTGTACATTTGCTGTTATGTTAAACTTATATTAAAGTTTTCTTCATTACCCATTCAAGCCATCTCCAACCATTATTAGTCTCAAAGTGGGTTCCTCGTCATTGAATTTGAATACATATATATTATTCATACCTTCGGTGTATAGGACGCAAGCAGATTTTGACATCAAATTTTAGGGTAAAAAAGTGCGTCCTATACACCAAAAAATACGGTACACCTTTTATAACATTGCTATCAAATATGACTAAAGTCCATAAAAAAACTGATGCAGGAGAAGCTCATTACATTGTGAATATAAAGCACCAATAAATACCACATATTTCTATAGCCAACTGAAAAAAGGACAAAACTATAATGTTTGAGTTATTTACCTTTTTTTATATACCTGGTCCTAATTCTGTACCAGATGTTCCCTGCATTACTGAACTGTACATGTTGATGGCGACCATCAATAAACACAGAAGCATTGGTCCAAACAAAGCACCTCGGAACCCTAAACAAAAGACTCCACCAGCTATAGCCAATCCTGTGAGATATGGATGACCACCCCTAATCAGACAAAAAAAACACATATTATATTGCTGAGTATGAGTCAAAGATGCTATCTAAATGATTAATATATGACTTGGTGGTAAATATTAGCTGGAAAAACTGGAAGGAACATCAAAATATACACGAGGGTGACTAAAATTATACATATTTCGATGGTAGTATAGTTTTTATGTTTTGTTTGTTTGTAATTAAGTACAAAGCTATACAATGGCCTATCTGTACTCTGCCCACCAAGGGTATCGAACCCGGATTCTAGCGTTGTAGTCAGCAGACATACCGCTGTACCACTGGGTAGCCATTTATGTTTTTGTGACAAAATTCAACCTGTGTTTAATTTTTCAATTATATGTATCAAAGTATTCATGCTTTTTTTGAGAAAATACAATTATAACTCTTTAGCAGCTGTAATAATGTATGAAACCAGTATAGCAGGAACAAATGTTAAAAGGAAAGACAAATGTATGAATAATGGCACAATTCTATGATGTGTGAAAAATAAAAAACAGTAGATAGTAGAAAGATATTAGTACGAAAATACATAGAATTTATGCTTAAATTGTCATTTAAACTTTTCCTAAAAATACTGTGAAGATCAAGTTTCATTTTTAAAGAAAAAAGTATTATTTCTCTTGACACAAACTAAACCATTAAAAATACTATGATCATTTTATGATAATGTAATACAATCCTTACTTAGGTTTCTTAACCAAATTAATAATAAAAGCAGACTCGACTAATTCTGTGATAACACCAGAACAACAAGCCATTTCATAAACTGTTAGAATAACAAACTGATTGTCCCGTTATGTTTAAGAAAAAATATTTTTTAAATAATATGTAATCATTTAAGAACAAGAATTTTGTCCCTAACTGAAAAAAAAAAGAAAAAAGAATTCTTGAATTTTTTCAAAAATAATTTTCAAGTCAGCATGTAGAATATATTTTCTTATAAAGTTTTCTTAATATTTTCTTTAACCTCCTAATGTGGTTGGCTTGATACAGTAGAACGATGGTCAGAGGACAATGTCACGTTATAAACGACAGCTTTACTTCCCGGAGAAACTAATTGAAGTAACTTTAATCATTAGCTATCAGGGATACAAAGAAAATCTTATTTCCCTTCTTGTTGAAGCAATTCAACAACTAAGTTTAAAAGAAGACTGAATTTGAAGGCAACTCACAATACCTTAATAGATTTGAGCATTTATTATAGAAGAATTATTTGTATTAAATTTTGCGCAAAGCTATACGAGGGCTATCTGCACTAGCCATCACCACCCACTGCTAACTCTTGGGCTACTCTTTTACCAACAAATAGTGAGATTGACCGTCACATCATAATGCCTCCATGGCTGAAAGGGAGAGCATGTTTGGTGTGATAGGGATTCAAACCCGAACCACCTGGCCATGCTGAGCCCTTATAGAAGAAACATGTGAAAGTGAAATTGAGATTTTTAGGCCATCTACTATGGGATATCTATGTATAATGTACAACTATTTGTGAAGAAAGAAGAAAAAAAAAAAACATTTTAAAATTTTAAATAAAAAAAAAGTTTGAAATTACAAAGAAAACCAATCTGAAACTAGGTAAAAATTCCATGAAATTTGAGAGTTATCAAATATACGCTGAAATTGAGTACATCAAAAATTGCTGAATTACATCAGATTAATAGTGATGTATTTGTAGAGGATACACACCCTTTAATTTCACTGTAGATGGCACTGTCAACAAAAGAAGAAGGAGCAAGTTGCCCAATAAACATGAGCCCTGCACGAAATATTTGTCCATTCACCAACCACAGCTCCAAAACTGCAGGTAGACAAGCCCAATAGGCACCAAGAAACGGGACAGCCCCAAATATGGCAGCTAAAACTGGAAAATACACACAGTTTCACATCTTAAATACATCATTCCAAGCAAATTAAGACATTAAAACAAGTGTCTAATGATGACTTACAAATAAAATTTGTCTTATTACTGACTTGGTTATCAACTACAGACAACAAACTTAAAATCTCAAACAATTGTTTGCTTTATCCTTGCTTTACAATGTTAGCTACATTAAAATATTTAACTGGTATAATAACTTTTCACTCATGTTATAGTAGTTTAGAGAAGTGAAATCATCTCTCAAGCTGTATCTAAAATAATTAACAAAATACAAAGATGCTCATTTATTTTGGTAGTTAGTGTGTCATCGAAAAGAAAATCTTCACATTATTAGAAAAGCTGCTGAAAAATACACAAAACAGTTGACAATTTCTTAACTTACCAGATGGTATATATATGATATTAACATCAAAAATGGTGTGAATCAGCCATGTGTACAGACCATAGAACATAGCCATCTTGAAAGAAGCAGCAAATACTCCATTTATGGACTGTTCCACTACATCTCCTACTTTGTTACCTGCTCCACCAGATGGCAGCAGCTTGCTGACTAGTTCCACAGGCTTGTAACAAGTATTACTAGCACACAGCAAGTAAAATAAAGCTGTTGAAAATACAACCTAAAAAATAACATTTATGTGAATAAACCTTATGTGAACCAAGTTTCCTCCAGACAGAAAAGATTCATATGATTATGTGAATTAATGATACGTACAAAAAAAGTCTGAAACTAATTCATGATATTTTGGTCACATACAAGCTAAGTATGTTTCATTAGAAATCAAAGTAAAAACACTTTAAAACAATTTTCATGAAGCTTTTTCGAGCAATATTTTATTTCTAATTGTAATTGATTTGATTTGCTTAAGTTCCAAGCTGTACAAATGGCTATCTGCATTGTGCCCATCACTGAGATTGAACCCTGAATTTTAGTGTTTATAAGTCCTTAAGCTTACCACTGAGCTATTTGAAAATATAAAAACTATTACGAAAAATAAAACTTATTTTTAGTAAATGGTCCTGAAGCATAAAACCTCTGTCATTGGAAGCATTTATATATGATATGTCCTTTAAACATTTACATATATAATATATTCATTTTAATTCATTATATTAAAGGTACCATAGATCTTATTCTTAGATACATGCCATTAATTTAAACTATCTTAGAATTGAGCAAAATGCATAACTGGTAATGGATGTGACAAATGTAGTGTGGTTGGAATACTATTATTATACCTTCTTCAAATTTTTGAAAATCTATCAGGGATGTCAAGGATGATTCCAGCAATGGATGTAGTACAATGTTACATGCAATTACAGACAAGGATAATTCTAGCAATGGATGTAGTACAATGTTACATGCAATTACAGACAAGGATAATTCTAGCAATGGATGTAGTACAATGTTACATGCAATTACTAGTCAAGGATAATTCTAGCAATGGATGTAGTATAATGTTACATGCAATTACAGACAAGGATGATTCCAGCAATGGATGTAGTACAATGTTACATGCAATTACTAGTCAAGGATAATTCTAGCAATGGATGTAGTACAATGTTACATGCAATTACTAGTCAAGGATGATTCCAGAAATGGACATAGTACAATGTTACACGCAATTACTAGTCAAGGATGATTCTAACAATGGATGTAATACAATGTTAAATGCAATTACTAGTGAAGGACGATTCTAACAATGGATGTAATACAATGTTACATGCAATCAATAGTCAAGGATGATTCTCACAATGGACGTAGTACAATGTTACATGCAATTATGGACAAGAATCATTCTAACAATGGATGTAGTACAATGTTATGTGCAATTAATAGTCAAGGATGATTCTAACAATGAACACAGTATATTGTTACATGCATTTATAGTCAAGGATGATTCTAACAATGGAAATAGCACATTGTAACATGCAATTATAGACAAGGATGATTCTAACAATGGACATAGTACAATGTTACATCCAATTAATAGTCAAGGATGATTCTCACAATGGGCATAGTACAATGTTACATGTAATTACGGTCATGGATGATTCTAACAATGGACGTAGTACAATGTTACATGCAATTATTGTGAAGGATGATTCTAACAATGGATGTAGTACAATGTTACATGCATTTATAGTCAAGGATGATTCTAACAAGGAACGTAGTACAATGTTATATGCAATTACTAGTCAAGGATGATTGTAACAATGGACATAGCACATTGTTACATGCAATTATAGTGAAGGATGATTCTAACAATGGATGTAGTACAATGTTACATGCAATTAATAGTCAAGGATGATTCTAACAATGGATGTAGTACAATGTTACATGCAATTAATAGTCAAAAATGATTCTAACAATGGATGTAGTACAAAGTTACATGCAATTACTAGTCAAGGATGATTCTAACAATGGACATAGCACATTGTTACATGCAATTATAGTCAAGGATGATTCTAACAATGGATGTAGTACAATGTTACATGCAATTAATAGTCAAGGATGATTCTAACAATGGATGTAGTACAATGTTACATGCAATTAATAGTCAGGGATGATTCTAACAATGAAAATAGTACATTGTTTCATGCAATTATAGTCAAGGATGATTCTAACAATGGGTGCAGTACAATATTACATGCAAATTACTAGACAAGTAAACTTGCACAAAGGTAAACAATTTTCAATACTAAACAAAAAAAAAGAATTTTAGGAAGGTCAAAAAGGGAAGGATCCCAGAGTAATGATTGAAGTAAGGTAAATGATGTTTGTCATTACACCTACAATAAATTCACTTTTCTTTAATTCACTGCCTATCAAACATTGCAATTCATCAAAAAATACTGTCATCTACAAGTTACACAGAAATTACTAAATACCTAAAACTTTTAAAGTTCGATACTCACGAAATCAAGAAGAAAATTCAGAAGAGCTGTTCCTCCTCCAAACAGTAAGGAGAAGATTGCTGTCAGGCTACTAAATGCTAGACTGAAGTTATTGATAATAACTGTCCAAACAGATTCTAATACCTACAGTAAAACACAATCATTACTGCATTTTCTTTACAAAGTGATGTCAAAATATTGATCTGAAAGCTTGAAGTACTCTTTGACAAAAAATAACAATTTCTTACTTTCTAACATTTTCTGACGTTGATAAATTTTTAAAAATGTCTTTTTTGTGATCCATGAACTTGAGCATACATTTGAAAACATTTAATAAATTTTACACAATAGCTTTTTTGTAAGATGAAATGTTAAAACAACTTAAATGTTCTACCACTAAATGAAAAACATATAGTGTAGAGTATCACAAAGTAGGTTTTAATACATGATAAAAAAAACATATGTAAACAACTTCTTTATTATCTTTATTAATTGAGTAACAATAACCAAATCTATCATCTACATTTATTGTTCTATCAAAACATTTATTAACTTTACCTTTAGAAATCTTAGTTTCAAGTTGAATATAAAATTAAGCCAGTTTAGAAGACATACAAGTAACAAATACATAACTGTTATCAGTCAATCCTCAAAATTATATGCAGCCTGACTGTACAATGCAAAAAAACTTTTTTGTTATTAAATTAATAGCACTCATTGGATTGAGTTACAATTAAAAATAATCTAGACAGCAATGCACACACACTCATTCACTCACAGTTTCAACAAATGTTCATGGCCTTAAAATAGTAACTAAACATAAACTATTAAAAAGACAGAATAATATTAGGTTGTCAAGAAATTAATGTCGTGTTTTGGAAAGCTTTCATTAACCGCCCTCCCAAAAACGTACCTCACGTATAATAGTTAAACGAACCACCTAAACGTCATGTTAGTGTAGCCTGCATAATGTGTAAAGTTTAGTATACTCTAATCATTTAT